GTCATAGGATTTTAAACATAATGTTTTAAAAAGATGCCATGTGACATGTATAACCCGATTATGTTAAAAAAAAAAAAAAGTTTATCGTTCTTGTATACTTATTGTTGATCTATAAAATCAGGTGATTTCAAGTTCTATTTTTGTTGCTTGTTTTCTTTTCCCCACAGAATTTGCCATTTTCGGTGGAAAACAAGTGGCGATTACTAGCGATGATGACTTTGTTCTTTGGATCTGGATTTGCAGCACCTTTCTTTATAGTAAGACACCAGCTGCTTAAAAAATGAGGATGTTTTAGTTAATCCATGAAACAGGTAATTAATTAATGGATTTCTAATCTTCCCAAAGCAATGCTTTCCCTTTTATTTCTTCCTCCAAAAAAAAAAAAAAGATATTACAAGTATGTTTTTGTGTGTAGGGCTGATTCCTGAAGTTAAGTGTATTCGTGGAAAGAGGTTGATAAACCTAGAAACAACTGTTTCTTTACCTGAAAGCCAGAGTTTATTTAGTACTGCTGTTTGTGGGGCGCACTTTACATTAATAATCTCATGTGACTCCCTGGCGAGCCTGTGAAGTGGGTAATAATAGTTAGTATATGCCCAGAGGAATCTTGTGTTCTAGGAGGTTAGCAGATTTCCAGTGTGAGAAGAAAAGATTTATTTAGCTTAATTGTAACTAGAATTTCCCTCAAAATGACACTGTAGGAAGCCCTATGGGAATAAATTCCAAAGTATACTTTGGAAAATAAAGACTTTGTCACAGTTGAGTGGGTGAGTGATTTATCCAAGCCATTAGTATAGGAGGATTGTGGTGCATGTGATGAAGCAAATCAGTATGAATCTAGTCATGATACTGTAAACGCTTTCTGATGTGCCGGTCATAAACTGATGGACACAGTGCATTGGTGAAACTACACAGTTTCTGTGAAATGAATGGGATCTTTTAATATTATTAGATTTCTGTGTGTTTCTTCACAGATATGAAGAGGAGCATTTTAAGAGGTGTAGTCTCTGAAAAATGGATCCAACTGTTGAACTCAGCAACTGGATGTGTTTGTAAATAAACGTATGGCATGAATTCTTAATGCCTCTTCTCTGAAGTATGAAATGTGATCATTGAGCATGTGTGTACTTATTTATTTGGGTATTCCAGTATTAGTTTCTTGTTCAAAATAGATGTGATTTAGCTTGTTTCTCAGTTTAAATTATAAGATTTTATTTAATTTTTGATTGCTAGGTCATGAACTTATTGGTAATTTATGTTATAAATGCAAACAACTTTAGTTCTATACTAATTTCTTTTTTATTTAAAGGGGAAGAAAACATGACTTTAGTCTTCCCTTTTACTTTGAAGGAATATATTGATTTTTCTCCCTGAGTGATAATTAGTTAATTATGAGGAAAGCCACTGTTGTATACAGGTTAATGTATACTGGTGTTGACTTGAGTTTCTTAAAACTACAGATTGTTGATTTTGTAATTATATATAAATATATTACCCCTGTACATTGTTTTCCAATCCTCACCTGAGAATTTTTTTCCATTTTCAGAGAGAGTGGAAGGGGGAGAGAAACGTCAATGTGAGAGAGACACATCCATTGGTTGCCTCCTGCACACACCCCAACCAGAGCTGGGGATCAAGCCTGCAGCCGAAGTACCTGCCCTTGGCTGGAATTGAATCCCAGACCCTTCAGTCCGCCAGCTGACGCTCTCACCACTGAGCCAATCAGGCTAAGGCACCCCTATACACTTTTTTAAAAATTCACGCAAAATTGGACATGTTGTAAATTGTTCAAGTTAATCCCAAAGCTCCTCTGCAGTTTATATTGGTATCTTCAATTCTAGCTACAGTTCTAGCCAGCTGTCCAGCAGATACTTCAACCATACCGGTGTAAACATACCTGGAGTCATGGTACTAAAATGCAAGTCATCGTATAATAAGCTGTCAGCATCAGTAAAATTCCAGCTCCTTAGCGTGTCACCCTGACCACAGCTCCAAGTGTTTTATGTACCATCTCCATAACTTGGCTCAGGTGCCACCTTTTCTATAAAGCTTTCCCTGCTGATTCCTCCCCATTATCCCAAGGACACACGAGTCAAGGACACCCAGGAAGCAGCTTCATGGTCACCTCAGCATGTACTATAATTACTGATTTCCTTATATATCTCCTATACCAGCTCGTGATCTTTCTGAGAACAGAGCTTTTACTTATTCATGTATCTTGCATGTATAATTTAGTGAGTGGTCAATGGACACTTGGATGGATTACTGAATTGAAGCCAAGAATGACAAAAATTACCTAAAAAGAGCAAACCCAAGCATCCTAGTCTATACACCAAAATGGTGTGTGTTCCAATGTTTTCTGAATATAATTGAATTTTTCCCAGGCAACTTGCTGAGTTGGGTTTTCCAACCAAATGTATGTTGAAATAATCCAATTATTGCAGATTCAGATTAGGAGTTTCTGCCAAAATGTAATTCGGTTATGTCACTGGCCATACCATTTAGTGTCATCTATATTCTTTGTAGACAACTTTTTTTTATAAAAGTGTGTGTTAATTTATATTCTGACAATAGATATTGATCTTGTTTCAGACCAGCATTTAAGAAGCACCTCCCCCCCTCCAAAACACCATCCTTGGGGCAGAAGAAATCTTAACACAATTCAGTGTGAATTAAATATCTTTACAAAAGGACGCCTTGAATTAAAAATTCAAAAAGTTAGAACAGGAGTTGGTGCTGGGTGGCTTGAAACAATCGCTCATCAAACAGGCAACAATAGGAAAGAAGACACAATGAGCTTTCAAATAACAAGGTATCTTGGGAGGATAGATTTGCCAGAAATTTAATAAAGGAACTAAAGGAAAGGCATAAAACAGCTATGAAATAAATACAAAACAAAGACATAAAAAGGTAAAATTTACGTAGAGTGAAGTGGACAAAACCTTGGTGACTGATGAGTTTGGGTAAACGCATACACCTGTCTGATACATGTTCCTATTGAAATACAGCACTGCGTTAACTGTAGGAAGAGCCCTCACACCCTTTGCCTGTCAGTCCTTGCACCCGCCTTTGAAAAGCAAGGTCCTCCCCTTCAGTGTCCTCGCCCATAAAGTCGAATTTAAATGTGCTGCCTCATTAGGTTGTGAGCATTAAGTGACCACTTTCGTCACACATTGGTCTCTTCTACAACTTTTAGGGCATATCATTTTTGTACATAAAAGTTTCAAAGCATGAAGATGTCTTAGATGTACCTATTAAGTGGTATTTTAGGAAACAGGAATATCAGTATCAGTTGGAGCATTTCCCAGAGAAAATCAGACCTAAGAACTTACAGATAAAATAATACAATTGAAGAGCTCTGAAATACGGAGGAAAATAATAAGCACCAAGTGACGTGAATCAGAAAATTTTCTCAGAAGCACCTTCAGTTAGCATGTGGAGAAACAAAAACAACTGACAAGGAGAGATTAAAGAAGGAAGCGTCCTTAAAGGCACTGCTGCACATCTGCTCATTTGTATCCCTGGGGCCTAGCAGTCTGGGAAACTGCACTCAGTTAACACCATCCCCCGTGTAGACGGGAGTGGAGCAGGTGGGTGACGAGCAGTATTCATTTGCGACTACCTGCCCCATGGCCTGGTAAGAAGAGAACTTGGAGAAGAACCAGGAAGCGTAATTTACCAGTGAGAAGGGGGTTCCATCAGAGCGGAAGGGTGGAATATTCAGTGCAGGTTATTTGAAGATGAAGTGCAGGAAAGGGAGCTTCCCGTTGCCCCTACTTACCTCTCAGTGATGCGCTGGTTACATTCGTGCACATTATTAACTTCTTTAGCAATTCGATTATAACGTGTAGGTGAGCAAAATACAGTAGCTGGATCTTACGTTGTGACTTCAAAAAGAAATGAGAATGGGAACTTCTTTACGAGGCAAGCCGACGTGAAAAGTATTTTGGCTGCTGTATCTCTACAGTTAATTCTGGTCTTAAAATCTTAAGGCCTGTACATTCTGAGACCTGTGGTAATGTCTTTTGAATACTTAGCATTTTCTCTGGCATTATAAAATAACTTTATAGTTCAGTTAATCAAGTGACAGTAAGAGACAGTACTCTACAGAGAGCTCATTTTAATATTTAATAAGATGAATGTTGAACTCTATAAAGTTGAAGGCAGTCCCGTTCCCATATGTACATAGTGTCAGTATTCCAGGAAAGCAGAACTCTGTGCTCTGCCCACGGAGTTGCTTGGCAAAGATATATTCATTTCACTCCCTATATATTTTAGTCCTCTGTTTTAAGGTATTGTAGTGGTCTTGAGAGAAACACTGAGGAAAGTAAGGTGATATTTCCTATATTTCAGGAGCGCAGAAACCTAAGATTAAGATAGATGCTTACACATAAATCAGTACAAATTAGGATGGGATTAAGTGCTTAATTAAGTATGGCTCAAAAAGAGCTAGGAGGGCATTTGAAGAGCTGGGAATCTAGTGTATCAGACAATTTTGTCAAGTTTGGGTCTTGAGCCATAGGCAGAATTTAAGGTCATGGATATGTGGGGAACAGGTTGGGTCATACAGAAATAGACCACATATTTGTATATATGTTTTGGATGTAACACAAATATATATAAAGACATACATGTATGAATTGTACAGATATGTTTACTTACAGGAAAGTCTGTAAGCATTCCTTTTTTATGCTAAAGGTAAATATTTCATAGGTGGTTTAAAGCAATAGAGAGAGATGATATTAGGTATAAAAATTAAATCTGAAAATCTGGAACACTGAAACCATTAAGCTCTAGTTGCTATGGCAACCTCTTTTGTATAGATTGTAAGTAATGATGATAGACTTCAAAATTCCACATTGTCAGAAGGAAACTTCATCAAGACAAAACTGGACCCCAGTGCCCTGGAGTCAAACTAATCATCAGTTTGCAAATGTGAAAAACTTCCCAAGCAACAAACTAAAATAACATGAGAACTTAAAAAGGCTAAAATTTAGCTGTTAAAATGTAGCCTATGTGAAAGAAAAAATGTTTGTTAAAAAGGAATGGAAGCAAAGATAGGTGGATTTAGAAACTATTCTGCCACATTTGTTAAGTTTTTTATTCAATGTCTATGGTCATAGAAATATATAAATATTATTTATTTTATATATTTTTTAGTTGCCCTCAAGGGTAATTTAGGCAGATACTTCAGCTTTTTAACCTTTGAATCTTTGTGTGTGTGTGCGCGCGCGCGCGCGCACACATGTCACAATCATTTCAAGAGAGCGAATAAGAAAATGAATGGATTTTGATTTTATGAGTTCATTGAAAGTCTCCTAGAGAAAGGAGACTATAACTTAAAATTTAATGAAGGTGCAGGGAAAGTGAAAACATTTAGGCTTTCTCACCACCTTCTCCTGGCACAAAGCTGCAATTATGTAAACATGATACAGCACAGTCATAACAGACGCCCTGTTCACTAATGTCTGACCCATCGTTGGCTGAGAGCTGCTATTGTCTCGGGTCCTATAAAACTGGCCCAGGACTTTCAGAGGTGCAGATTTGCGGATTATTCCCAAAAGTTAGCGGTTTGTCCCCCAAGGGTCCAGCCTGTCCCCCGGGTGCGGGTTTGTTCCCACTGTATGCCTGGCTGGCCGCCACCAGGAGAGAGTGTGGGTTTGTCCATCTTGTACGTTTGGCCTGCCCAAGTCAAATAAAGGAAATGTCTCAGCCTCCTTTGACTCCAGGGTCTCTCTTCTTTGGATTGTCTGGATCTAGAGTGAACCCCCCTGGCCCTAGAAGTCACCCCAACACTTGGCATAGCTGCTGGCAAGCGGTAGTCTCTGGCACAACAAAGGATTGTAATTACACTTAGGATATGGTAGAGATGAGTGGGCCATTTCAGGCTGTGTTTCAGGGGGGATCTGCACAAATTTAAGGACGGCATGTGTGCAGACTAGAATCCAGTTTAAACATTCAGAAGACTGAGTTCTAAGTGAGAATGACAATATATTGCTGTATACATAATAATATGCACGTACCTTCTCAGGAGGAAAATTTACTAGAGAGATTAAGTTAATATTTTATTATTATAGTCAGAAAAAATAAAATTTAAAACATGGAAGAA